ACAGAGAACAAAGTCGTGGTATCATCTCAAGGAAAGGACAGGGGAGCATGGAACAAACAGATAGCATCAGTAATAACCACTGGCTGCAGGAGTGGTTCGCTTTTGTCTTTAAGAATAATGACTGCAAAGAAAAAAAGAGCATAATTATGTATATGAAAAACAGGATTGTAAATTTGAGAGAAATATTAACTGACACTGTTCATAGTGGCTGTTGTCATCACACTTCAGATACACTGCAAATCCTTCTGCACCCAAGAGACTCCCCAAGTGCTTCACAAACATTGATTAACCAGGTCTTGGCACCTATCTCATACAATATGCAATATCATATCTGCCTAACTATTCTGGGCCTTACTTCCTGTAATAATTAAAACTTTGCCAATTATTGTTTACATGTATTACAATTCTTACCTGCTTTTTTAAAACCTGTGTCCCTGAACCAAACAGTATACTTAACACTATATAAAACATATTCTCATCTGTTTTAAAATATTTAGACTAGTAATATTTTACCTGGGGTTTTTTTTGTTTGTTTCTTGTCATGCAGGAGAATTACCCCATGCAATACAAATAAACCTTTTCAAAATATTTCCTTGAAACAGAAAGATAACAAAGAAAAAAACACTGTTGAAGCTCAATGCACAAATAGGATGTATTAATTACTTGGCATCTTTTCCGGAATAAGACTTATTAATTCAGTGCTACCCCCAGCAGCAGCAAAAATACAAGCTGCACACTTCCCTCATGTTGCAAGGAAACCTGACATTTTGATGTAGTTCCCAAGTAAAGGGCTTAAGACCTGAACACGATACACACCTTACATAAATGCTACAAATCATAATTTGTTGCTGCAAACAATAGGGAAGAAATATTCTAAAATAGAGAGCGCTAAGCATTTTATCAAACTGATTAGTCATGCTTCAGTGGCTGCAGATTGTCTCCTGCTTTCCACAGCAAGATCAGAACTACCCCTAAGTGAAATGGAAACTGCTGTGTGCTGCTACTTACCTTTCTGCTAAATCCCTTGTGTTTTCTGACGTAGTCATTTGCATGCCCACTCAGCGTGGTTCAGGCACGATCAAGCAGCAGCACCACTTGGTGCCACTTAGCCAGCTCGGAGTGACAGTCACGCTGCGAGCGCAGGGTAGGGCAGCATCTGCTTGCTGCGATGCTGTACTCTCCGATTGGTCATTATGGATGATACGATGAGAGTTACGAGCATTGCTTGTTCACTTACAATATACGGCAAATGAGCAATTTGGAAGGCCGTTGGTGACACATGGAGTTCATATATCACCAGATACTTACTCCTAATGCAGAAGGTGCTGGCAGATGCCAGCATGTCTTTGATCTACAGACTTGTCTGAAATCAGTGGCAGCATCAGCTGTCTTTCATTCAAGTATAAACCTGGCAGAAGTAAAATATCCCTGTAATCACAAATCTGAAACAACAAAAATTACCATATGTGGCAGTGGACCACATCTGAAACCTATGAACCAGAACAGTGTCAAATGAGGCCAGCTGGCATGCAGAAGAATTGAGGCATTAATTGCTGCAAGTGTGAGAAACAGACAGGTGAGAGCAACACAAAAGTACTTCTCCCCAGCAAGGATTCTCCACAAAAAAAGGCTTCAATCCACCAGCCAAACTGCAGCTTGGTGTTGGTTTCTATAACTTTGGGATGTAGCAAGACTTGATACGTTCTTTGTAAAAATCTCTCTTTAATGTCATGCAAAATGGGGTGCATTGGCATAAACCATTTAATCAGTGGAGTGAGCTCATCTGGCTGATTTAGTCCAAAATAAAATAGCGTATGCTCCCAAACTGCTTTGCTGGCATGTCAGCAGTACAGGTCCTGTACATAAGGGCAGCTACAAGCAGCAAAAGCAGTCATCTCACTTTTTACAACAGTTGATGAGCTATGATCTACTTAGACAAGTTACAAACCTCCAAGGGCATCTAATGTTAAAAATTATACGTCTTTTCTCCTATATATGGTCTTATTTGTTAGATTACACTAAGCAGTACCAATAATGAAGACATGAACTGCTGAAGGAAGACCCAAAAATGATAAACAAGCAAAGGGTAATTTCAGGAAGATACTTGGAAAACATCAACATACCTGATTAAATCTCTTGCTGTTTTTATGACATCCTGTACAGGAAAAGCCTGTGTTACATTTGATATAAAAATTATCAAAATAGATCCACAGGCTGCCCTGTTAATGACTCCATTACATGTTCCTAACGGCACTGTGTGCCTGGGCCACAGCAGGAGATAACAGACATTACTGGGGTTCTTCTCCCTAGCTGGGAATACTACTGGCTATAACTTTAAATTAACCAGGATGCATCCATGGCAGGATCATGAGCTACTCTGAAAAGACTTCATCATTTTCACTAGGTGTTTATACAATTTCTAACTGATACTGTATTTCTTCAAACGGTCTTTAAAGTTCTGCGTGGTGAAGGCTCTGGCTGCTTCTGACAAGGTCTTCAACACTTGAGTCGTCAGGTTTTTATTTGAATACCACTCCTCTGGAAACAATTATACGCTCAGACAACCTTCAGCATGCAACTTCTCTTTCCCCCCATGTATCAATGTTTTCTTTTAACTAAAGAAAAAGATCTAAAAAATTAATATGTGTAATACTTCCAAATTCAGGCCATTTCTCCCTTGGTTTTAGAAGTGTCTTTCCTTTTCTGCTTTTTGGCAGCAGGTCTTGCAAGGACAGTCATGGTTCTCACTGGGGCTTTATTCTTTATGAAATAATCATCCTCTGCCCTGGGAACCATGACTGTGGTCCTTCACAAATCATAATTAGAATATAGTCTGTGACTTCAGGTGAGACCTGGTCTCCTTACGCCACTGCACCCCCATTGTCTCCAGTCGGAAGGCAATTACCCAGGACATCCTAAGCAACACCCTTTTTACTTAAACATCAAATCCTTTTTATGTCAACAGCAATATTGAACAAAATGAGCAGAACTAAGCAAAATTAAATTTCTGAATATTAATGAAAAGCAAAGCAAGTTCAAAACCAAAGAACCATGGTGTTTTCCATGGTCAAAGGTGGGGTGGGAAGGCTTTTTTGAGCATGGGAGTTACCATATTTTTGCATAAATTTTATTTCACTGTGTGCATGATATTAACTGGTTTCTTACTATAAATTTGCAGCACAAATGCTTTATGTTTTGTCATTGGGTTTTATGGATTTCACTAACAAAAAGGATCTTGAACCCTGCATTCTGCAAAATGTTCAATTACTGACTCATTTTACTCAGTAATTACCAGAACTTTGCAAAAAAAGTTAAGCCTGGAGTTCGTATAGTAATGCTTTTAATAGTAACTCAAGAGCTCCTTCAGTATTGTGACACATCGAAAGCAAGTTACATCAGTTATATCCTAAAATATGGATGCATTTCTCTGCCAAATCTACATTATCTGCATAAGTCAGCCGAGGTAGTGTGCACGAGTAACTTAATTTGGAGGAAGAGAATAAAATACAAAGAGTCAAGCACAATTGAGCTAAACCAGCACTTGATGAGAAACCACTGCAGAGAAGACCAAACGCTGGTGACTCAGTAGTTGACTCTTCTCTCCATTATCTGGAGACTCTTGGAGCAGGGAGAAGTGGAAGCACACCATGTTTTTCCCAAATACAGACTACTCCCAAATACGTAAAGCAAATGAGATGCAAGATCAAAGAGAAGCATCTAACAAGAAGATTATACTCCCATTCCAAAGAAATTTCACAGCAAAATATCTGTAATCATAGTAGGGACCTTCTGTCTCAGGGGCTGGAACACCACCAGCGCAATTGAGCTCGGTAATGACCTACACTGCTTTCATCTTATTCAGAAACATCAACAAA